AGTCTAAGTGGACGTCCATGACATGCGGAGTCCCACAAGGCTACACACACACACACACACACACACACACACAGACACACACACACACACACACACACACACACACACACACAATGGTTTTGTATTGTACAAACTGCACTTTCTATCGCCCTACACCTAAACCTACCCCTCACAGAAAACTTTGTGTATGTTTAGATTTTCAAAAAAAAAAAACAAAAAAAAAACAATTTAGTATGTTTTTTAAGCGTTTTGAATTACAGGGACACATGAAGTGTCCTCATAAACCACCTTCACATTGTAATACCCATGTCATTATACAAATTTGTGTCCTCATAAACTACATACCACATAAATATGCACACACACACACACATACACACACACACACATTCATGACATGTCAGCTGTAATGAGCACTGATGATCTCTGCAGTCGCGGTGTTCATGCTGATTTCTGTGTTTCTGAAGAATCCACAAGGCATCACAGTTTCATCAGACAATATATTTCCAGTCAAAGTGATGAAGTCTGGAAATTACATCATTCCTGAGATGGCCAGGTATGTAAAATGCTGTCAGGACTGAAGCTACTCAATTTGAGTAAATTAAATCATTTAAATTGACAGTAATTTTTTTTACAGTGTAGTGTTTATAACATTAAATCACATATTCTAGTAGACCTTCTAAACAAAATTATGAACATATAAATTACCATAATAGGGACCCCTTAAATGTTATTGCCTTAATGACATTTCCAGTCTACAACTATGAAGAACTTTGGAACATTTAAACCTCATTTACAGAAAAGCACGTGTGTTGTGTTGAAACATCTTCGGCACATTTTCATGGCCATATATGCTGTTCACTAATTCTTTTTCGATCAACAGAGCAGCTGCCAATTTACCAAAGGTTGAATGTACACAACCAGTTTTTGCAGGTCATTTACGGGAAATCTGTATTGGACTGCAGTGAACTCTTCAAATCTTTATGAGCTCTATATGAATCTCCTGTTTGATTCACAAAACTGCACTCAGTTTTACTGACAGCAGCTTTATTTCTGCATTATACACCATGTGAACTTGTGTGTTTGATTCTGGAAGATATGAGATAATGAGAAGAATCACGGTCCCTATCTCTGAAATAAAAACAGAAACAATTTGTTACCTAAATATTACTTGCTATTTTTAAATTCTACACTGGTGAACTGAAGCATCAAACTATTTTAAAAATTTGTATTGGCGATTCCAAATGGTAGGAAATGCAAACAAACAGACTGAGAGAGCGAGCAGTTTGGACTCTGAGGGTGGTGGAGGCGGGTATAAATCAGAGCTGCTGCAGCTTCACAGACGCTCACAGGAAGACACACACAGACAGTCAGGATGGAGGTGAAGCTGCTGTTTCTGACTGTTGTTCTGCTCTCCTCACCGCTCCTCACACTATGTGACCCGCTGTGAGTATCAAACACACTGTTCATGGATTCACTAACAGATCTGTTCTTAAACGCTCTGATTTGATCTCCTCAGGTTTGTTCTGTCGGCTCCTAATCTGCTGAGGGTGGGTTCCTCAGAGAACCTGTTTTTGGAGGCTCAGGATTACTCTGGAGGAAACATGAATGTGAAGATCATAGTAAAGAATCATCCAAAGAAGAACCTGGATATACTGTCTAAATTTGTGACATTGACTGCAGTCAACAATTTCCAGATCCTTACAGATATAAAGGTGACGCCACTTTGACATACTTTGTCCTTATGTAAGCATATGTGAGTGATTCTTCAGAGGGCAAACTTCATATTTGTACAATTATATTTACAATTAATTTGATTTTATCCATGTTGCTCAGATTCCAAGTGATAGGGACTATTTCTCTGCCGATCCTCTGGAGAAGCAGTATGTGTATCTACAAGCTCAGTTTCTATCCATCACTCTGGAACAAGTGGTCATGCTCTCATGCCAGTCTGGATATATATTTGTCCAAACAGACAAGCCCATCTACACACCTGCTAGCACAGGTACGATTAAGTGCTGAAAACATAGCATATATAGAGTGTATTCACAATGTGAACTTAAAACATGTTACATCAGCATGACATTATTCTGCTTATTGTTAAACTGACGCCTTTATGAAGGTTTGTATCTGCAGGAAATAAAACCATAAGAACTCAAATTTAAATTTCAGTTTGACCTCTTTTGCAGTTCAGTACAGGATTTTCTCTCTGACGCCCAACATGAAACCACTCGATGGGTCTGGAATCACAGTGGAAATCATGGTAAACACTGTTATTTAACACACACACACACACACGGTTGTATACTGTACAAACTGTATTTTCTATCACCCTAAACATAAACCTACCACTCACAAAAAACTTTGTGTATTTTTAGATTTTCAAAAAAAAACTAAAAAAAAGTATGTTTTTTAAGCGTTTTGAATTACAGGGACACATGAAGTTTCCTCATAAACCACCTTCACATTATAATACCCATGTCATTTTACAAATTTGTGTCCTCATAAACCACATACCACATACACACACACACACACACACACACACACACACACACACACACATTCATGACATGTCAGCTGTAATGAGCACCGATGATCTCTGCAATCGCAGTGTTCATTATTATTTCTGTGTTTCTAAAGAATCCACAAGGCATCACAGTTTTATCAGACAAGATATTTCCAGTCAAAGGGATGAAGTCTGGAAATTACATCATTCCTGAGATGGCCAGGTGTGTAAAATGCTGTCAGGACTGAAGCTACTCAATTTGAGTAAATTTTTAATTGCCTTTAGTATTTATTTCAGGACAATATCTAGTAATTTATAAGAAACGATATTATCCCGGCTCTTGGTCTGTTATCATCTATTTTAAAGTCATAAACTGCATTTTTTATTATTTTATAATGTTTCCTGAGGTGCAATTACAATGTTAGTGTGACTCTTACATAAAAAAAGTCATAATTTAGAAATAAAAGGCAATTTTCTTAGCCCTCTGAACGCTCTGTTTGAAGTGGCGTGTCTGCTGTGAGACTTGGGAAAAGCCCATTGTTATGATTGGCTAAGAACGTTTAAAATTAAATAAGTATAAGTGGAGCTCTCTCGAAATCTTTTACTGTGTTTTTAATATTACAGCTGTCGAGAGTAACTAGTCGTGAAAAGTGTTGACTATAGCATTACATTTATAGTATCTTAATGTAATTTCTCTATTTTACTTTAATTTTATTACAAGTAGGTCTACAGCGCCCCCTAAAAAAAAAAAAATGCCTTACCAGACGGGCATCAGGAAGCTGTTGCTGCTGCACGTGCTACTGTCTGTGTAGTCTATCGCACATAGGACACTTTTTTTGTTGCATTGTCAGATTAAATGCGGTGATCCAAAACAGTGAATCTAGCCATGCTTAAGGCAACAGTTTGCTTCAAGAATGACCACACTACTGGCATGATCTTATTGCTAGCACACCCAGAGCACATGTGAGCTATTTGTCTTATCGGCAAGGCATATTGGCATTATTTTTTATATCGGGCTGATGCAGATGTTTGCATTTTAAACCTTTAGTGGCCGATTCCGATAAAGGTCCGATGATATTGTGCATCGACCTTTAGTCCCTGTATCTCCCTTCTGTCCTTCCCAATTCACTAAAGTCTTATTAATACTTCTGCGTCGGTGTAGCTAGCTACGTTGTAGGCTGTGTGTAGCAATGTGTCAATTCTACGCGGACCGCTGAAGTATAAATCAGCCATAACGTGCCAGTGGGTGGGGCCAAAGATACAATAATGTAGAAGTAGGTGTTGATCTGATTCTTCAGAGGTGGTCTTTCGCCGCACTATGCTGTCATAATGTGACAAAATCAGAACTTACTCTGAAACTGTTTTCACACTTTTGAAACTGCTATGATTGCCTCCTTGGTTACCATAGCAACGTTTTGCAGTCTTGAATGTTTGGCATTCGCTACTTTTTGTTGTATATTAAGTAATGTTACTGTGACCAAAGACTCATTATCTTCGGCGATTTTAACTAAACCACCGGTAACATAGCCATTGTGGGTTTTTTTATGTTTGGAAGGCTACTTTACAGAGCACACTCTTGAAGGGTTGCTATGTCCCCTTATTATAATTAAGCGATGCTTATTAAGAGCCTTTGGGCTTGTTGTTTCGGCTTGGCTCTAAAAACAATCAAGTTTATGGAGTTAATAAAATAGGCAGGTGCAGGGCACTATATTTTGGTAAATGGCTTATTTCCAAAATATAACACGTTTAGATTTGAATTTATTATGTTTATTAATTTTGTTTTTCCTAGCAAGATTTAGCAACACAAATGACAAAACTTAGCCTGTGATTTCTTTCTTGCACCACACATACCAAAAAGACACAACTCTGATACATATATAAATAAATCATTAACAACTAGTTGTTCAGTTCGCTTCTGTACACACTGTGTAGAATTACCGTAAATGCGGTTGTCACTACCTGCATTTTTCGGGAGTGAGTTCAGTTGTAGAATGCAGTTGACACTCCCTTAAATTACCACACCGTGCACTCTCAGAAAAAAAGGTACAAAAGCTGTCACTGGGGCGGTACCTTTTCAAAAGGTACACTTTTGTACCTTTTAGGTACTAAGATGTACACTTTGGATACTAATATGAACCTTTAAGGTACCAACATGGACTCTTTAGGTACAAAGTTGTGCCTTTTGAAAAGGTACCACCCCAGTGACAACTTTTGTACCTTTTTTTCTGAGAGTGTGTGTGTACAGAACAGGATTGAGCTCTAAAAGGTTAATTGACAAATTAATTTAGCTACAGTGTGTGCGTGGCCTATGTTTCAGCTCTGGGATCTGGAAGGTAGTCACACTGTTCTCAAACACTCCACAGAAGAACTTTACTGCAGACTTTGAGGTCAAAGAATATGGTAAGACCTGTGTCCCTTGTTGTGTAAGAATATGATAACAAGTCAAAGAATGTATTTACTTATTTGTGTGTCTGGTTTGGTCTTAGTGCTTCCAACATTTGAAGTGAAATTAAAGCCCAGTAAGTGATTCTTCTATGTGGGTGATGAGAGTCTGAAAGTCGACATTGAAGCCAAGTAAGACAAAATACGTTCTGCTTCATTGTATTCATTGTATGTTTAATGTGTGAAAACACTGATATGACTGCATCAATCTGACATCACTGGGTAACCCCAACTAAAGATCATTTTAAAGGTCAGATCAAAGTAAAATGGTGAAATGGCTCCTTTCCATCTTCTTCGGAACATAAAAGGTCCAAGCTGCTCTTTTTCTATGTAATGAAGTGTATGTGGATCAGGGACAGTCATCGTCACCATTCAGTTTTACAGCAGAGTTTGGATGTGCTTGTATAGATACCTGTTTGGACAGAAGGTGGATGGAAATGTGTTTGTGGTGTTTGGTGTGATGGAAGATGAGAAGAAAACAAGTATTCCTGCATCTCTGCAAAAAGTTCAGGTGAGAGACATTAAACATCTCGCCTGTTGGGATAAATATAATTTCTTCTCACCTAGAGGACAGTTTAAATAAGAAGTTACATAGCTTTTTATTGTGTCTTGTAGACTGATGTTGCTGTGTTTCTCATATATGAATAGATCGTGAAAGGAGAGGGTACTGCAAAACTGACCAATCAGATGATCACTGACACCTTTCCAAACATTAACCAGCTGGTTGGACGATCAATCTATATTTCAGTCAGTCTATTAACAGAAAGTGGTAAGACTCAACAGATCTGTATGCACATGTTTACCTGCACGTGTGTGATTGTATGAGAAGCTAATCGTTTGTGTGTTTCAGGCAGTGAAATGGTGGAAGCAGAAAGGAGAGGCATTCAGATTGTGACGTCACCGTACACCATCCACTTCAAAAAAACACCACACTTCTTCAAACCTGGGATGCCCTTCAGTGTCTCGGTAGCCAATGTTAATGTAAAAGGAAGGGTCTGGAGAGTAGGGTGTACATTTTAGGACATCCTCAGACCTCAGTCATATGACTCAGACTAAAAGGCTTCAGGTCTCAGGAAAAGCATATTGTTAGCTTGTATGTTGGCAAACTATAGTTACGTTAAAGAGATCTTTGTGGCTATTAGACTGCATAGTTATAAGCACATCGCTTCTTTGTGTACAGATGTTACTGGGGAAACAGCTTGCTTTTCTGCGCCTACTGTTAGAAAGTGAATTTGCAATTTAATTCACCCCATTGGAGTTTTTCTGCAGACTAATGTCAAACGGGATGTTCTGTTCTGTATAGAACATAACCAGTGTAACAATTAATTAGGTAACACTTTAGAATAGGGAACACTTATTCACTATAAACTACGACTTTTCCCTCAATAAATTCCTAATTTGCTGCTTATTAATAGTTAGGAAGGTATTTGTTAAGTTTAGGTATTGGGTAGGATTAGGGATGTAGACTAAGGTCATGTAGAATAAGGCATTAATATGTGATTAATTATAATTAATAAATGGCTAATATTCTAGTAATATGCATGCTAATAAGTAACTAGTTAGACTATAGTTATAACTAGTTATAAGTAACTAGTTAAGTAAGAGACCCTAAAATAAAGTGTTACCAAAAATGTATCAGATAGGCAACTTCTTAACTTCGGTCTCTCTTTCTCTCTCTCGTTGTAATTCTAATCTAAAGCCATACTGTCACAGTTTCTTCATGTTTAAAACTGTAAAGCAGCTGCTTTAAAGTAATGTATTCTATAAATTGCTAAATATGCTTAAACGTGACGTGACTTTACTGGAGTGATTGCAGAGCTGGTGCAAACATATCCACGTCGCTATGATGATCAGATGGTTTCTTCACTGCCGCTTTCTCACCGCTGTCATTGTGTAATGTTTATTTTGTTATCAAGAGGAAAGCTCGCAGCACATAATTACATATTCTTCTAAACGCCGCTCTCCGCAGCATGGACGGCGCTGGGATGTTCGCTAATACAGCCGTGAATATTATCGGCATTTTGAGTCCGTTTCGCCCGATGCCTTTTTGTCTGATGCCGTTTCGCCAGATGCCTAATTGTATGAGACCTGACACCTGACGTTGTTTTTCCTGGACCTGAAGCCTTTTAGTCTGAGGTATGATGCCTTTTCGTCATATGACTGAGGTCTGAGGATGTCCTAAAATGTACACCGTACAAGAGGCATTTTTTGAACATGAGGCACTTGTGTTGAAGGTGCTGAAAAGCAGTGAGACACGATAGTAATTTACATAGAAAAAAGCAATTAATTAAAAAGCAACACAGTCTAAACATGTTTTGTGCGAATGGCCCTTATGGTACAGCAAGTACAATACAATGAAAGCATTTAATCTGCATTTAAAATCTGAATGAAATATAGTAATATGTTAGCAATATTATTTATGAACTAAATCCAGAAGAAACTCCAGCACAGTCTGCAGATTTTGAAACACTCATGACAGACCTCACTACCTAAACCTCACAGCAATTGGCTGCTGCCTGGCATTTTTCATGTGTCATTTACATAAAGTATTTCTTATATTTTTGACGTTGACGTCTGCAGTGGTAATTTACTGTTAATGTTACAACATCTCATCCTGGAAATCTACCAAAACTGATTTACACTTAAAGCCCCTGTTAACTAGAAAGTTAAGAGCCTGAATGTTTGTAGAACCTATGAAACAGTTTAATAAATTTTTGGTCTGGGTTTTATAAAAGGTCTACATAACAAATCCTGACCAAACACCTGCTGAAAATGTGGGAGTGGAGGTCAATCCTGGAGGGGTCAGAGGTCAAACAAAAGCCAATGGCATTGCAAAAGTTACTGTCAATACTCCGGGAGGATCTTCAACACTGGAGATCACTGTAAGACCTGCCATCATAACAACACTGATGTTCAGTCTACTGGAAAATAGATCAGTTAACATTTGTTGAACAAGCAGTGGAGCATATTGTTCACAGCACATAAGAAAACAATATATTTATTCTTTGCAGGCAAAAACCGAAGATCCACAAATAAAAGACGAAAAGCAACAGGCAGTTAAGAAGATGACGGCTCAGGCCTACATTCCCAGAAGTGGCTCCAACAACTACCTGCACATCGGCATTGATGCTGCTGAGCTTCAGATCGGTGATCCAATGACAGTCTATCTGAACACTGGAAAAAGCCCAGGATTCAAAGATCAAGACTACACATATATAGTAAAGATGATGGTTATTTCTCATTCAGCTGCACTACAGCAGCTTGTCTTTTGAAACAGTATAAATGTCACAAATGCTTTTAACTCGTCTGCCTCATTTTCAGATCTTAAGTAAAGGTCAGATCGTTCAAGCAGACAGGTTTAAGAGGAAAGGACAATCTCTAGTGGCTCTGTCTCTGCCTGTAACCAAAGACATGGTGCCATCCTTCCGCTTTGTGGCTTATTACCATGTGGGCCTGTCTGAAGTGGTGTCTGATTCAGTCTGGGTGGATGTGAAGGACACGTGCATGGGAAAGGTGGGTCAACCATCACAAGATACAGCTGATGTGCCAACTAGGTCTGTTTTTCTGACACTTCATCTCTTGTTTTAATAACAGCTCCAGATTGAGGTGAAGGAGAAGATGAATACCTATGGCACAGGAGATGAGGTCAAGCTGCAGATAACTGGAGATCCTGGAGCTAAAGTTGGTCTGGTGGTGGTTGACAAGGCTGTTCAAGTCCTTAACAAGAAAAGACTCACTCAGACTCAGGTGAAGGATCTTCTTCAGACTTCACAGTGCAACTTGACTTTTTGGCCTAAAACAATGTAACTGGTGTCTTTTTTGCACCTCTAGATCTGGGACGACATAGAGAAGCATGACACCGGCTGTACAGCAGGAGGTGGGAGGGACAGTATGGGGGTTTTCACTGATGCAGGTCTGATGTTTGCGTCCAGCACTGCAGGAGGAACCAACACCAGAACAGGTATTTTTTCTTTTTTTTTCTTTCAGCTAATGATATATCTATACCTATCTATCTATCTATCTCTCTCTCTCTCTCTCTCTCTCTCTCTCTCTCTCTCTCTATATATATATATATATATATATATATTAACTCTATTCACTGAACAAAGCAATTCCTGAGGATTATTGTCAGGGATGCAACTCTGGTCTGACAAAACTGATTGTTGGCCGATGACTGGTGATATACAGAAAATGCTTTTAGTTCAAAACAAGTATTCTAAGCGTTTTTTACATTTTTATGTCCAATACATCACTTTATCATAATTTGTCATTATTAGGGAAGACTGGGTCAAGTTGTCACCAGATTCGTTACATTTACATGTATTTAGCAGACATGAAGATTTTGAAGAGTGAGGGTTTGTGCCTCTATATAAAGGAATAAGCAGTGTTGGGGAGTAACTAGTTACATGTAACGATGTTACGCAATTTAATTACAAAATAAATGTAACTGTAATCAGTTAGAGTTACTAAGAAAAAATATGTAATTAAATTACAGTTACTTATGAAAATGTTAACGATTACAAAGGGGATTACATTTTAATATTTACACACATCCACAGACATATTTAATTGATTTCTTTCCAAAATTGCACTGACTATTCTGAGACATACGGCCCTATAATCTATAATTTATAAAACACAGACTGGTTCGTAGAATCCAGTCATAAAAACCGGGAGAACCGGGACAATTCCCGGTGGCTTGGCAGCCGATTTGGCCCGCTATTTTAATATTATTATTGTGTAGTTGCCTGCCGAATGTACTAAAGCGATTATTTCCATTCCAATTCACCGTTCGATAATTAAAGCTCTAATAAATCATGAATCGGTTAGTCGTTGCAATGCTTCGGCTTGTGCGCTCTCCGCGCCTCCGCCAAACGGTTTGGATCAGAGTAATCAATGCGAGAGAGAGAATGGAGTGGACTGTGGACGCGCACAGGTGGAGGAGAGAAGCAAAACTACTGTTCAGGGTTTCAAGTGCAGGTCAGTTTCATCTGTAAATATGCTATTGTAGTTTTGTCTTTGTTTACTTAGTTAAGCAGCAGCAGCACATTGCACATCAGTCATCACCCAAAATACTGTATAAAGGATATTATTATCTATTATAACGTTACAGTAGTAATTTAGCAGACAAATAATCATATTTTAGAATAGGTTTAGAGGGAGCTAGGGCAGACAACAACACACTTATGAAAATTAACAATGATTTTACTATAAATGCAAAGACAATGGTTACTATTGTTAAACCATGGTAACCACTTCCCGGCCTGAAATTTTTTTCCCAGTCCGCCCCTCGTGGAAATTAATGGCGCGGACATGCAGTTTCATTTACTACACATAGGCCTACTGAAGCTCGTTGTGTTTTCAGCCTCTGCCGCCTCAATATAGGAGTACATGAACACATAAACATAATCTCTAGATCTGCTCTGAGTCACTTCATGAGCAGTTTCCTTATTTTGAGAAAACTATCATCATATCATATACAAAGAGACACCAATGTTTCAAAAAGACACCAATGTTTCAGGAGTTTAGTACACAAAATAGGACACATGCTTATTAGATAACCGTATTTGAGTTGATGTATATGCTTTTACTCATTATTATTATTATTTTTTTTTTTCAAACCATTGTTAGATGCAGTGTTTCCTGTAGTTATGCAAAGATTTGGTTTCCAAAACAGTATCAGTAAACTATTTCTTATGATTTTAAATCTGCATTGAACTTCAGATCAATCTCAAAGTAAAAGGCGGTACTAAAGGCTGATTTTGTTGTGGATGTGTTTAACAGTTACAAATAAACATTCATTAGACATTTAGAAAAGTAATCAAAAAGTAATCAAAAGTAATCAGTTACATTACTCTAATAAAGTAATTGAAAAAGTTACACTACTATTACATTTTAACTAGGGTAACTTGTAATCTGTTACCTATTACATTTCCAAAGTAACCTTCCCAACACTGGGGATAAGAAGGTGCAGCTCATTCAGTGACTGTAGCTGGTGGGAGGGAGCATATACTCTTATGAGTGAATTGAGGTAGGGAGGTGCAGTTCCACACAGAAAAAAAGCCCAGTGTTAAATTAACTCTCCTGGGAGTTTATTTGAGTCCACACTCAAGAGTGTTAAAAGTAACACTGAAGTAGGGTTAAAGTTAGTGAGATAATTAGGTGATTAATTGAGTGATGATTGACCATTATTGAAGACACCTGATGGTAACAGCAGAATCACCAAAGGAGAAAAATACAATTTTTAAGAGTGTATTCACACCTGTCTTGTTTGGTTCGATTGAATCGAACTCAAGTTCGTTTTCCCTCTTGGTGCGGACCTTTTTGGCAGGTGTGAATACAGCAATTGCACTCTGGTGCGGACCAAACAACCGTACCGAGACCCAGCTGAAGAGGTGGTCTCGGTCCGATTCCAAATGAACTCTGGTATGGTTAATTTAAGGTGTGAATATGACCTGACCGCCATCCGATCCAATTGCAGAAATCACGCTCAGAAACAGACAGCTCTCGCATATAGTGCTGTTATTTGCATTTCAATGCCTTAAATAACTTGTTTTTAAACCACAATGCTTAAAAACACATGCAAATGATGAGTTTTCGTGACCATGGCGCACAGCAACATGACGTGAGCATGCTATATAGGCTAAAGCTTGCCGCAAAAATTATCATGACTATGTTGGGGGGAAATAGTAAGGAGATATTTTAATTATTTATGAATAAACTAGTGTTTTATGAGTCAGTGTCGCTATGAAGTTGATGATCCTGACTCGCCATCTCATCATTGGACACGTCTTTAGAAAGAAATGCATCTTTACGGATTACATCATAATAAGAGGTTTTGGATTTGAATTATTTCGTTTTGTAGTCGTTTAAAGCTTTCTATAGATGTATTCATCAAGTCTGTAAGGAAAATATTCGCTGAGTTTCGGTGCATTTTTGTGAAGCGCTCCTGTTCAAGACAGAGACGGCAAGTGCATCCTATTTGTTTTCTTTATTTTACAAAAGCACAACGTTTTCTTGATATTGTGAGTGCACACAAATAAAAATAGACCCTTTACAGTTCCGAACGATGTATTATTCTTTCCTTTATGAGCAAAAATGATGACGTATTTAATTTGTTTCAACTGATGTCCTGAAGCGCGCTTCAGCTTCCACTCTCCGCACAAACGATTGGATATGCGCCTAACAGCGCACATTTCTATAGGTTAAATGTTTAAACTAACATTGTGATATGCTT